AAAAAACGTCACCCGTTTGTTTTGTGATATATTATATCATTATATAACCTTTGTTCTTTAAAACCTTTCATGAAAACTTTAACACGTTCAATTCCATTTTAATGACATTGCCAAAGGAACAAGGCTCTACCGGAGTAAGATCTCGCCCTACTAAATCTAGCAATAGCACTCCAAAAGACGTGCCAGAGGCACGAACTAGTTCTAATTCTTCGAAATCTACAAAGGTCAAAGCCAGGTATGCTTAGAGGAGTTCAAATGGGGTGAAAACGCGTATTTAGATCATGGCATAGTGTTTTGAACTACCATGTAGTTAAGTGATCTTGCACAGCCTGTTTAGAAAATCTGTAAACTAAAGCTTATATTTGTGCGTCAAAAATATATAAATGCCTTAATAACTTCTATATGCCTTTCAGCTTGACTCGTTCAGGGACACCTTATTATTGTCCACCTGGTCGAATAGCTTTTATTGCCTTCTTGATTGTACGCTTAACTGCCGTTTTTTTCTCCAATATAGCTGATTGCGATGAAGTAAGCTTATTGAATGCGAAATAAATATGGGAGCATGCTAGAAAAATCACCCTTCGGCGTTTTCCGATCGGGTTAATTCGGACAAACTTAGACCAACATATTTATCAATAAAGGTATAAAAGATGATTTATATGCAAGTAAGAACTGGTAAATGTTGGTCTAAGTTTATCCGAATTTAACCCAATCGGAAAATGTTGAAGGGTGATATTTCTAGCAAAAATCCCATATTGGATTTAATAAATTTCTTTACAAGTATTTATTATTATAGGTATTTAATTATTGGGAACCAACGCACTATCTACAGTATGGATACGGAATGCAAACATGGGAGTATTCTCCTGAATATGCTATAAGAAGTTGGGCCTATATTAAATTACACGCGATTATTGGTGGAATATTCGGCTTCGTTTTCAATCACGACAAGGTACTGTTGATATTAACACACTGTTGTTTATATTAGCTTATATTCATTTTGATTGACTGATTCTAATCTAAGCAGATCAAAATTTTTTATGCCATACGTGCGACCTTCGCAATAGTGTGCGCATTATCCGAATCGATGTTTTATATCGCTGCGTTAACTCATTTGGGGCCACGAGTTGGACGTTATTTGATAATCACAATGCTTCTTAGCGCAGGAATGTGGAATGCATCCACTGGTAGACTAAATGTAAAATTAAGATGATTAATTATAGAGTTTTGTTAATTCACTTAAAAGTTTATACATTTCATATTATCAGCATATCTTCCGTCCACATTCGCAATGTACACAACTATGGTAGCTTTCTTTTATGCACTTATGCCAGTTTCAACGACTTCTGGGCGCCGAGCTCATGGAACTATCTTTTGGGTTGGTCTTGGATCACTTTTAGGATGGCCTTTTAGTGCTGCCGTGGGGATTCCTGCTGCATTCGAAGAGTTAGTGCTTCGAAACGCACTAAAGAAACCATTTGAGAGAATTCGACGCTTGATTTCCGGAGTTATTACTTCCTTATGTATAATACTGGTATTGATTAATATAGATTTTTCAAATACGAGATAATTATTAGCATTTTATTTTGTCAAACCTAACCTAATTTTCTGGTCAAAAGATTCCACTCGCGTTAGCAGATTACTATTTTTATAA